GCCTGAGAAGTACGAAAACAACAAAAACTAATTGAAGGAAAGAATAAGATAGTACCCTCGCAAATTCGAAAAATGGTTTCGGATTTTTACTGAAGTAATTGATATCAAACATAGCAGTTGGATCAGGAAGATCAGGATACTCTACGTGAAGCCGCGCGTATACACCATTTCTACTCCGGAAATCTGGTATACCACAGGATACAGAAACGCCAGCGCCAGTCAACACCAGGATGCGACTACACCTGGAAACAGCAAAAATTTGTTTTCCTTCCGTAATAATAAAATATTTCAACGAGAATTTGTCAAATTTCCCGAAATTATCGTACGTGAAATAACCTTTTAAAAAGTTCAACTGCATCATCAAATGAATTGAATTCTGATAATTTTGTGCGTTTAGGTCGTTCACTGTATAAAATCTTTTGAATAATGCGATATAAATCTTGCTCGCAAAGATTTTCCGGTAGATTAACATGCGGCAACAGGCAACGAACAACATCTCTTGCCGATTCACCTAAAGTGAATTAACGTAGTGTATTTCCTAAGCATATAACAGAACTGAGCTAAACAATTAATGTTAAGGACACTTATCACAGTCAGTGATAAATACTAAAGGAATCGTTTTAACGTTAAAAATTCATGGCCCTATACGACGATGTACAATTGAGTTTGCAACAACTTGTAACCAGCATGAAAAAAAGTTTCACTTTTTTAATTCAATAGATAAGGTACCTAATTTTCACCAAAAAAAAGACGAAATTGGATTCGATAGAGTGTAGACCACTAATAAAAAAATTCTGAAAGATAGAATGCATATTCACAGCCCAGTGGTATCATAAAACTGCTTACATGTATAGATATAAAAACAACGAATGTCAAATGAAATAATACTTCCGAACCTTGCCTAAATCAAGTGTTATGTGTAAGCACGAACCGAGACTAGACAGAAAAAGTAATTTATAGTCAAGTGACACAATAAGACAGAAATTTTTTGGTACAATTGAACTCCAAACTATGTTAGTACAGGTTTTTCATAAAGTAAATCTGTCAACAAAATGAATGATTTCAAAAATTCAACACTGGAAGCACATTTTGGTATCCACGAAGGGGATGCAATTTTATGCATCAAACGTATATAACAATCATTTCAAAGCGAAGAGAGGCTTGGAGAAGTGGATGGGCTGTTTGTTGAGTTCTTCTCACAGTACCAGAACTGAACGAGACTGAAGGATTAGAGATACATTACGGATTTAACCTTTTACAAGCACTATAACAAAGTGCAGTTAGCAAGTGGTAAAAGACCGTATTCTTGACAAAACTGGCTTTCAGTACGCAGTCATTTATTGCTCATATTTCCATATTAAGATCTAATAGAAAATAGAAACTTTTCACTATTTAGCAAGGTCAGCACCAATGTAATTCATGTTGTAAATATTCTAAAAAATATATGAAGCTTAATTCAAGTCACTAATTAAAAAGCTGAAGTAAAATACGAGAGTGCTAACGAAAACATTTAAGATCCCTTAGGTGCACCGAGTAGTGTAAGGAGTGACAAACGGGGACGGATACAACTTTTATACATTTCTAAAAGAAATTGGATTCAAATACCAAATTCAGCCAACAAAAAACTCAAATAATTCAGAAATTAAATGAAATGATGCAGTTACAGGGGTACAAAAATATTTCATTTGAAGGGTGAGATTTGCAAAAGCAGTATACAGCAGATCAAGTTACGTAAAAATAAAATAATAAGCACTCAGCCTTTATTAAAAAAAAAGCTTATGCAACGGAACACTGATTTTTCATCCTAATTCCGTTTTCAAAAATACACAAGATTTGGAAAAAGTCCTAACGGGCTTAATTATCGGCGTGCATAGACAATCATATCAGAAAAGCAAGAAAAAATTGGCTTAAAAACGAAGAAAATTAAATATGTGCTCACTTTCACCGCTTACTTCGTCGACAGCAGATATGTCACCAGAATCTGCGGACGAATCGCGAGAATCTGTTAATCCCTGCATTTGGACAGCAGAATTACCCATGGATGAAGAATTTGTAACGGAACTGGCATATGTATCGGTTTCGGTCCCCATATTGCCGTCTAGTACAATGTTTTCACCTGAACCAAATTTCATCAGCTTCACTTTACAAATGCTTATTTCAGCGACAGTGTAGGATTTTAACTTATTTTGGGTTTCAATCAATTCAACTTGTACTGATCGCGACGTTGAAAAGAACCAAGCAGTATCATCTGCAACGATTGGAAAACACACAATAGTACTAATAAAACCTACTTATCAGCTCATTTCCGCAACCACCTGAATGCATGAATATAACACGAAATGACAGATTAACCTGAAAAGACATCTAAGAATGCATGCATACGGTGAACGAAGAAAATTCGTCAGTCATATCTAACAAAGTAAAATTAGCACACAACTCATACCTTATTAAACAGTCTTCGCCGTAGAGTATGAACTTCAAAAAGTATATAGCCTATTTAAAAAGAACAACTTTATGCGACATCATGACCGTAGTACTGAGCACAAAACTCAAACTTTAGAGTCTTCACTACTTTTTTCAGTTTGTCATATTTTTACAATGTCATTTGATATCTGTAGTGAATATCATACAGTTATTTCCTTTCCTCCCACCCACACTAACCTCTTCTCAAGCATAGCCGAAACCTCCTCTTACCTAAAAGTGAACGTATTAAAACATCTCTACTGGTGCATTCACGGCCCGTTATATTTCGTTAACGGGTACCTTGGATAGGTTCGGCATCAAGGAAGGTTCGCTGATGCTCATTTCCAACATTTTCAGATTGATGGCCAACTTCAATTTATGGACGGATGAAATATTGTTGGATCCAGTGATATATTATCAAGTATTATTATTAGATTTCGACAACTGGCTCCCCTTACCGTCATCGTGAAAAAATTCATTTTCATAGCTATTATAGAGATCTGCATCTGCAGTTAGCTTTTTAATTTTGTAAATCAGTTCCTCTTAGATTCCGCCTCATGTAGTCTGTTTCGAATTAGTCGTACTAGTCAACACATTAGTGTTGTACTTGTCGCTGCGGTTCTTCGTATCTTTCTCGGGAAATTTTATTATTAACTAGGGGAATTTTGTATGATAGTTTTGTACGTATTTTAACATGAATACATGTGAAAATCATCCTGAAAGATGTGTTGATGTATCTGGAAATTTATAGACCCTTATTATGTGTTACAGATATTAATGAACATTTCACACAGTTCATTAGTAATCTTGATACTTTAAAATCCAATCCTCTGACTGCTAGCTGCTTATGACATCTCATAAATTTTGTATATTCCTATAAGTCTTTACGTGGTTCACAAGTGTCTGTTATACTGTTCCTTACTGAAGTTCTAAAGCCACTCAACCACTTATCGAAATTTAACATGATCGCTTCTTTTCCTTAATGTTGTCGAAGTTGTATAATTGGACATGTAAATAGAAGCTCTCAAAATTCCGGTACAGTCTGTGCTCAGTTTTTTTTGATGGAATTCTTTCACACACTTGAATGAGTTTATTCAAAATTTTGGTATGAATAAGATATAAGGGTTCAATTATAAATAGTGCTTTATTGGAAAGGCGTTATCTCATGAAATCAGTAATTCTTCGGTATACTTGTCTTCATCACATACACATTGATATTTTCTTCGATCGTCATGCTTCCTCTCATTAGCGTTCCGATTACCCTCCATTCACGATCACAATGTTTATTGGATAAATTGTTCGACAAATTTCCATAAGATTACGGCTTAAGTCAGTAGTAGTAATTTGAGTAATAAAGATAACAAGCATCGCTTGAGTAGTTCAGTAAAATAATTTAGCTACAATCGCGTTCTATTATTTGCTGTTATATCCCAAGAAAAGTATATACACTTTATAATGGCAATGTGCTCTCCGTATTTTGATGTGACTCTGTTTGGAATCTTTATCTAACAATATGTCTGGCGTTGTTAATGAAAACATTGAAAAGAGTGGAAGACCCGTAAGTTATCGAAGGTTAATGGTTAATTCAGAGTTTGTCGATTGGGCATTACGTATGCACTTTAAGGTTTCAAAAATTATATTGAGAAACTGTGATAACCAGGAATGAACACGGAGCAATGAATCATAAGTGATACTTCAATTTACAAGGCTCTAAATGCATAACTGTGTTGCCTGTGTGCAAAGTCGTCCACTACACTGATTACAGCATAATTTAAATACAGGATTTCGAAAATTTCAGAAATTTTCTTGTTTCTACTCCGTAATTTACTTTAAGGGTAGCACATAACCATAAGATGAAGGATTTTATTTGAACGACAGTTCATGAGCTCTGTTTCTCAAAATTATTAAAGATCGAAAGATCCAGAAGTGTAGGTTAACACTGACTTCATGGTACAACTTTTGAACTGCAAAGCTTCACGATTGAAGAACTTATGAAATATGACCTCAAGTGACAGCGTCCAGCCAGTCATTTTGGCAGAGTTGCATTAAGTATAGCAATGTACAACCCAGATAAGTTCTTCCCTATAAGCATTTTAGTAAAAAAGAATTGAAAGTGGTCAAAAAATACAAATAAAGTGATCTCGATGAAAATGAACATTGTCCGTTCGTCACTTTATTTTCAAGGATTACTTATAATTCTTTCTCTGAAGAAGTTACCCTTTGCAAAACTCCGTAATGAACATTTTCCAATTTTACACAGAATAATTCAAAATACTTGCAAACTTGAGCGTTTTGTTATAACACTTAACAGATATTACAACATATTTGCATTGCAGAAAGACTACATTCAAAATATTTATGGTACTGCCCAAAATAATCGGCACCTGTATTCAGCTGTTCTCACAGAACTTTCATTTGACATTCAAAATTACAATAAAATATAACAAATATTGAATCATTCCTAAACAACAGAGGAAGCACTTTGTGGCATGTAGACTTTCTGAAACTTCAGAAAGTATTTAGAACTTCAAAATCTATTAAGAATCATTTTTCTTTTTTGAAGCATTTGATAGCGTTAACATTTCTTCGTTTGATGGACAGAAATCATCTTCAATTTCTTCAATTGTTTCTGGTAATGGTTTACCCATTGTTTCTGGTATACAAAATATTACGATTAAACCGGCTATTAGTGAAAGACTACCAAACGGAACGATCATGGCCCATGTTCCAAACTGCTCCACCTGTAAAAAGAAAAAAGTTTCTAGAATATTGAAAACGAGCGTCATTTGACTTCTACGCCAGTATTGCGCTTCGTGAGTACACTATTCTTATAAATGAATGAGGAAAAAAATTCTCTGTACTCAGTGAAATATTTTGTTTAAACGGTAGTAAATGAGAAGCAAAGCACCGCTGCAATTCGAGTGATTTGGCCAATAAACGAGATTCTGCAACACCTGTATCAACGTGAGTACAAAGTGAACTAAATGAAGAGTGAATTTTGTAGAAAACATACAATCCACATGACAATATAACAAGACAGGTTGGCACCAACACGAGCAATCATCGAACAGCATCCCATAGCCGAATTACGAATCACTGTAGGATATAATTCCGGAGTAACAGTGTAAATTACTGCATAGCAGCTAGTTATAGAAGCTTTTGCGATTAAAAATTGTAGGACACTAATAATCCAATGCACTGAAATGATTCTTAACATGAACGGATTATACTAGTCTAACATGAATAAAAAAGGTGTGGCAAGTAACACTGTGGTTTTAAGAGCTGTTACGACGTAGAGATTGCTATGCTGCGGATGCAGCATAAATGTTGCAGTGGACGGCTGAATATTCCTAATAATCCATTATATGAATAGTCGCATTTGATAAACGCAATGGTACTTGCAGAAGATAGTTGATCAAAATCTGATAAATATGTATTGAAAACTGAAGAAATTTGATGTTTTTTAAGAGACTGTACCTTCTGAGGGGAGAAGGAGGTTAGAAAGCATGCATAAGGCAGCAAGAAAGTATCCTCCGGCAAAAAGTGGCTTCCGGCCTATTCTGTCGATAAATGCAAACAGCAACAAAAGAGCTGGTATTTCGGCTACACCACCGCTAATAAATGTCCCGTAAAAATCACCACCAAGAAAATCAGTTTTCATAGAAACACCATAATAAATCATAGACACAACCTATGAAATATTAAACAAGTAAAAAGAAAGTTGTTCACACACTGTCCTAATCAGTTTTTCAAATTGAGCAACTTGGAGAAAACTGAACACAGTCTATTAAATAGTGTATGAAAATTTCTAGAACTAAGTCTCACTGGCCATAAGAAAAGACATGCAAATGTACGCAATCGTATGCGCGGTGTTCGAACAAGATCAAGATAGTTATATTTCCTTTGCGGAGAACGGTTCTGTGCGGTCTTTTCCGGGAAATCGATTTGATCCCACCACTTTTCTGGTAAGCGTGCTCCATTAATTTTTGCCGCACGTTGCAAGATTTTATCGGCTTCTTCATACTTATGCTGTGTTACAAGCCATCGTGCGCTTTCAGGAACAATCCTAAATTTACGAAAAATATATAAATAAATAGATAAATAAAATAAATAAATATTTAAAAAGTAAAGGATTTCTTTGGATGTCTCAGTCAGCTCCTTTTGAGTTTGAGTAAACGTACACGCATACAGTCGTAGATGGTTGTGGTAAAGTAGTTTAGTTTGGTTATCTTCATGGGAGATTGGATGGCAGAAGCGTAGCTATATTGAAAAATATATATATAACTTCAATCGGAAGGAATAACGGAAGAAGAAATAATTAAATAGAATCTACACTATGAAGGAGTATGGAAATCTAGAAGTCGTCTAGAAAACTCAGAATTAGATGAACAAGGTTTACACATCCCACATATCTTCCTAGATCTAATCGTATAACACAAGTTATATATATATAAGGGTATAGCTGCAGTCTTCCGTTCTCTACCTTTGTCTTCTACAAAGAACTTTAGAGATATGCATTCTATACTAACCACCAATAACACATAAATATCAGTGCAGGCAATGAAATAACGAGCTGCAGATATCGATAATCGCGAATGAAATATGCAAGGCATCCCAGAATGATTTGACCAAATGAAAAAAATATCCCTGATATTACTGAAGCAACTTTTCTTTTTGAAGGACCAACCAGTTCCATACCTATAACAAGTAACACTACCGAAAACGGGAGATGTAACGTAACATACGAGTGACATAACATACCAATTACAACAGCAATAACGAAAATCCCAGGATGTGCAAATCCTACAAAAGCTCGTAATAAAGCAAATGCTGTCCAGTATGGTACTACTGCCATTAAAACACCAGATAATATTAGCATGATTATCGCGATAAAGAATACTTTCTTACGACCAATCCTGCAAAATAGTTTTCTTTAGTTCCTAATTTTCAATAACAATGACGTTTGATGAAGAATGATACGGCAAATTACCGTACTGAAACTGAAAAATACCTATCACCCAGGAAACCAAATACCAGCGAGCCACCCATCTGTCCAATATAGTATGTTGATTGAATAAATGCTTTCAACACTGACCATTCGCATACAATATGCCACTAAAAGATTATTTTCAAGACTTTAAAATCTTATTAATATATTTGGCTAAATCATTTTTATCCAGAGCGTTAAAATAGAGACATTAAAATCATTCACCGCATTGCAGTATGGCGGTGACAATATTTAAGCACCTCTGAGGTCCGACAAAAAAAAAAAAGCATCTCGAATAAGTCTAATATGTGGATGAGGTGAACGATATAATCGGATATCTCTGATGACATTTCTCCCTCAAAACCTTCGAAACACGTACTGAAGACAACAGCCGGAGACAGATTACACTGAATGATTATACAGTAGCCACTTCTTGAGATCCAAGTGATAATTTCTTCATTTCAATCAAACGTTTTACGGATGACTTATAAAAGACATTGGCTAAATCACCACACTTTAAATGCAAAAAATTTGCAAAAAAATAACACACTTTGATTTTACAATCTGAAATCATGACTTTATTCTCTATCGAATTCATAATGCATCCACGGAAAAAACCTCACCCGATTAATGGCCGAGTACTTGATTTCCGACAAATCATAAATATATCCAAACCGACACATCGATTCATTACGTAACTGGCATTCTCGATATCTACACCGTTCTGTTTTCTCCGTACAGTTTGCTGCCGCCATAAGCAGACCACTTTGTGTCCAATAGTTTGCATCCAACTTTTCATTTGGCAAACGACATCTTAAAAAATATTGAAAAATTGGAGAATTAATAGGCTAACTTAATCCGCCATTTCGTTGAACGAAACGGACTTTATTGAAATTACTGGCATATTTTATATTACTTTCTATACAGTATAAATTTGATATCAAAACAAGTTTTATGCTTCTATTCCGTGAATTTTCATTTAGTTCGCCGTTTCCTTCATGCTCTGATGAAGCAGCAAATAAAATATTATTAGTGACAGAACACTATTTACACGTCTGTGACATATCAAAAGCTAGTTCAAAAAAAATTTAATTATTCAACTTTGCAAATATTTTTTCATAAATACGATGACATCCTGATATAATCCCGGTATACTAATTTTTGATTAACACTGTTATGTTACAACGCTAAGGCCATTTAAATTTTCAGTGCTATGACAATTAGTTAGACGTAATGTCAATCACACAGACATATTTCAAAGTCATCTGCACCGTAACACACACGTGTCATCTTCGAGATTTCGAGACTCATGAATACTACATAAAGCAATACAAATACAGAAAGTCACTGGCAAGAGTTACAAGCCGACCAAAATTTTCGAGCATAATTGCAGCTATTACTGCAGATTTTCCTTAACTATCCTCAACAATCCAACACCAACAAGTTTAACCACAATTGTTAGCCGCGTGAATCATTTCTTTTTCACTTTCGAAATTCCCACACTTATGCAAAAGATGTCAGATTTTTTCCGCTCTCAGGAGCGATTTTGTTTAAATTTTAGCATTTACTTAGTAAATGCCTGAAAACTTACCCGGCGACGGCAGGTTTCTCGAAAACTGTCAAGTAGATTAATTTTGTATCTAAGTGGAAAATGTTATGTCGTTGCGCAGCTTTTTAAGCGCTAAAAGTGAATTCATGTATTCATTTTGCCTTTTCAAATTCAACTGTGAATTTTCTGGAAGCTTACTTTTGAGACAGCTTTCACAGCATAAAATTTTTAGCAAAAGAAAATACAAACCTATGCGGAACAGAGGCAGCGCTGAATGTCCATGACAGTGCATGCATGGAAACGAATACGATTGGCAAGCATACCAATATAAATTGTATCTTTTGATAACGACCAAATTCACCTAGGTTAGTGAACAGCAATTCATCGAATTTCATTTCGAAGTGAACCTAAAATTCAAATCTGTAAAAGTACCTCTTCATGGTGATGACACCTCACATGCAACGATATGCACACAAGTTACATAAAAAACCAATCATAAACAACAGTGCAGATCTGTAAATGGATAAAGGAAATATTTCAGGCACCAGTTCTCCGAAGACGGCACTGAGTGAGACAGAAGTCGGAAAAAGATGCACAGCAGAGTTATAAACCATGGATAACATTCTCTCCTCACACTTTCTGAGAAGTGGGAAGCTGTAGCCTAATATCTAGCCATCTACAGGAGCACGCGCTTTGGTAGCGGAATAAGCCGAACATAGTTCGAAAATACCTGACTCGACTATTCTTCAAGACAATTTTCTCGTTGTTGTAAGGCAGAAATAAAGCACATTGCCCATCGACAAGGACGTAAGGCATACCTGCAAACCTTTCACATGCTTCTTCGCTTCGCGTCTCGAAGCCTCCCATATTGATCAACTATATTTTTTTGCTAAACAAAACAAACATCATCGTACAATGTGTTGCATGGAACAAAGGATTTGATGCTGAATTGATATGAAATAGACTGCAAGAAGCGTTTGATGGGAAGGAAATCAATGCTGCATGCTGTATAGTTAAGATGAACTATGGACGATTTATAAGGCTATCGACGGGTCATGGTCACTCAATTATTCATTACTATGTCATCTATGATATCTCTCCTATACTATTAGTCCCTTTCTAACTTCTGTCCCATCAGTGCTTATCGATTAATTGCTACACTAATAATTGCCATCTACAAACTTTGGACAACACCATTCCCTCGTTTGTGAGCACAAACAGTTGAAATGAATTTCTTCAGAGCTCTTCTCTACATATGCAGTCTTTTGGTAAACCCGAGTAATAAAAAATAAGACACATCGATTATTTCTACAGTGTGTCACTAAATTGTTAAACCATTCTTACTGCGCAAAATATTTATTACAGCTGCTTACAAATCATTTTGTTGTTGACTTATGAAATGATATACTGAGTATTGCTGAATGGTAAACCCAAGTAATTCTGACTGATCGCTGAATAACTGATCCGAAAAAGCACATAAATTCATCTTCTCATATTATCCATCTTGAATCTAAAGAGGAATACATTTCATTACTTCATTCAATAACAACTGATGGGAAAGAGAAATGTGATTTTAGATTGAACAAGGAGGAAACGTATTAATCACCTGAAATTGTATAAAGTTGTTTTATAATAATATAATACTCCCACCTGGCTCCTATGTAAGAAGTGCTGTTGGTCAGACAAAGATGCTAAACATAGTTCCTAATAAGTGCAAGTTATCATACGTTGCATTCTCTCCGACTTCCATCGAAAGAACGTAGACAAACCCTTTGTTTCATCCCATCTTTGTTAACTGTGTTTCCTGTAAAGTTCCCTTCCCACTTCCACCGATTCATGCTAACAGATAAAGACTGCTAACCAAACCAAAACACTGATAATTGATTCGTTTAGGGTTACGATGTAATAGTTACCAAAATGTCAGGGAGTTCTGCTGATACCAATGAATCAAATAAATCATAAACAAGTGACCATTATCATAATGACACAGCAACAGGTGAACAAATGGATGGATGCAGACTGCAAATCATTTCCTATAGCGCCAGTACCAAAGATTTAATGTAATACTGATCATCTATCAACTAGCGCTGCTGAGTTATTGAGAACTTGGGGACTTATTGAAAATTCAGTAATTCTGCCTTGCTTTGTATTTTAATTTAACAAAATTTCAAAGGTTGAAACAAATGTCGCTAATTTTAAGCGAACAAATAACAGATTTCGCACTAAAGAAAAAAAGTCGACTCTTCAAGAGTTGAAAGATACTCGACCTTTAGATATATATTCAAAATATGCTTTACCTATATTCAAAATAAAAAAAATGCTGATGTTCCAAGAGTAAATAAAGAAGTGAAAACAGTTTGAAATTAACACTAAATTTCCACAACTTATGTTTTTTGGAGCAGATAATTGTGAACCAAATGTCATGAATAACCTCTTATATGTTCCGGAAGAGTAATCCTGAAACCATTTCGAAACAGTTTTAGTAATGAATGTTACTAATGACATAACAAACGACATATACGACATAACAAAAGAATTCTATACATTTCCGCATAGATTCATCTCTAGAAAAATCACCCTGAATCGTTTTTTTATAAGATAAACAAGTCGTTCATGTTCACAAGACTTCGAAAAAGTACTGCTAAATTCAACTGACAAAACATGAAAAGTTCGATATGAACAAGATCAGCGTCACTAAGTTACAACGGTTTGATACTTCTTAGAAATAAAACCTGAATATGATATACCACGGAAAATACGTTAGTATAGTGAAGTCTGTGATCACCTCCGTTAAAAAGTAATTTCCTTTGTGATGAATATGGATATTTAGTAAAGCATTTGCCACCGCTGATTTAAATTCTTCAGTCATTAACGCTTAACTTAAATGGCTCTAGCGTATAATATAAAGGAAATAGAAAACCATCCTTGTTGCAAAAAAATGATACCTGCTGAACGCCTTTCCAAACATTATAACTGTATAGACTTCTGACGATGGCTGTGTAAGATCAACAAAGAGGAAAATAAAATACTGAATGGTCAATACATTGAGTGATTCCACGAAAAGTCTCTATGAATTGCGAACTGTACTGAACCGTCGGACTAATGCTCAGAAATCAATATAAAGCGGCTAGTAACTACTGCAGAAAAATGTATTCATTGGGAAATCCAGCCGAAGAATTCGCACCTAGAACAATTCTGCTGAAAACGAAAAAATAAAAGAAAAGAACTGTAAGAACTCTGAGCAGAAGGGATTATATTGAATAGTAAAAAAAGAATTGGACTGTAGCAAATATAGGTATTCTGTTTCAAAAAACGCACTAAAGCCGATAGGAGGTAAGGAAAATGAGCGAAAAGTTGAAAAATAAACCGGATAATTGCAGTATACACGAACATCACACAAAGTAAAAGTGTTTTTTTTTTTTGGTATGGTATTCAAATTCCCGAAATAATGTTCCGTAGAATTTAACAGTTTGGATTGCCGGATGGAAACTACGACTTATCTTTAATGATTGCTAATGACTTCACTTAGATAAGATAACTGTGACACCATGTGCTCAAGTCGATTTGATAACACTGATAATGTTTCTTTTTTTTGAAGACAAAAATGCCAAGCAAGACTCAAAAATCTTTGGGGAAGCATTTCCTAATAAAGCTTTCATTTTTCTCTCCCTCACTTGTTAACAATCTCTAAGGTAGAAAGAAGCCAAATATGACCACAGATCACAGTTTATAAGTGCAAGTTTCGATGGCAGGTTCATCCACTTTTGAGAATTAAATAAACGAATTTAAATTGAATTTGTTATTCACTAGATTGCATTGTAAAGTCGGGCGGTCTAAACGACTAACGGCCAGATCAAGAGAACTTCTAAACTACAAATATTTTATTGAATCAGACGACGAACTTGAGATGCAAACAATATTCCTGATAGATATGGATTTTTGTTATGCAGTATGAACTGCACTAGAACATATTATTGTGCCCTCAGTCTGTCATCTTTTTGTTCTGGTTGTAATTTGGAATGTACAATGTAAAATAAAACTTCTGAAAGAGTATAAGCATATATACACAAGGCGTTGATGTACTTGAGAGGTTGAAAATGTTAATTCCATAATAAATTATTTCTTACTGTATGTTGTTAAATTGGAAAAGATACTTCTGTGAGCAGATCTTTGGTGGGAACAGAAACATTTTGTAAGAAATCTGCTTAAATATAAAATGGAGAAATGAACAGTTTTGAAAAAATATAAATCAAGTGAACTAGCCATTGTCTATTTTATTCTTTCAACTAGACATACAAAAACTGAACGTGGAAACCATTACCAGCCTGAAGGTATATTCTATGAAATTCAGTTAGTTTTATAAGTTTAAATTGATCTGATGACTGACATTAACCGCTGAATTTGGGCATCTTTCATAATGTTATTGGTTAATATAATCATGAAGAACGAAGAAATGGGCAATGAATGAACAGATACTCGCATTGTTAAAATCCGAATTCACGGCTTATTTAAGGGTTTTCGGAGCATGATGTATTATATGGGAAATTCCGGTCTTAACATTGAGAATTTGTTTCTATTACGATTCTTAACCATTTACTACTTAATTTTTTTGACCACCAACTAGTAATGGTGGTTTATCCATATACTATTCCTGTACAGCTCCAGTTCTAAATGGAAAATTTTACAGCGTGGTGAATGAAGTAATATGTGCTATACCCACAACTTATTTCTTGGTGTTAAAGACTTTGTTTAGCGATCATTTAATTTGCTGTAATTACCATCCTTAAAAACACAATATTGCAGATATGTGTCTTAAATAAAATTTGTTTGATAAGAAAAACTCTTTGATTCATATATTCTCTGAGCAATACCATCTTTCATGACCATGTGAAGTAGGTTTATTCCACATTATTGTCGTCAATAAAGTTATAATTTGTTCTCTTGTGTGGAACCACATGACAGAATGGGCACGCACCAGTTTTCAGGTATGCCATTTCGAAGTCGTCCGCATGAAACATCTGGAAAAAAGAACCTAAAGCTATCATAATCCCAATATGGAAAAATATTTGTTTATCCCTAAAAATGATGTTTAAGGATGTTCAACTAACTTTCGATGTTTGTTGTTTGCGAAAGTATCAATTTCCTTTATTTGCTATATGCGGTAATTTTAGATCAAATGTAAGTGGTAACATTTTGGAGATAATTTCTGTTGACAAGCATATGTATAATAAAGATAGAAAGGTTAGGAACCAATGAGAAAAAATTTATATATATATATAGATAGATAGATGAATAAAAGAACAAACACGGTAACAAGAAGTGCACTGAGTTATTGAAATTTCTGGTATTATATTGTAATAAAAACGAGTAACAAATGGTGCCGGCCATTCAGCAATTATAACCTGTTGCTTTTCCAATTTGAGCAAAGTTTCACGATCTGCCACAACTTTGCCAGTTTTTAGGTTCATCTGCACATATTTTTATTTCAGCTGGTAGTGAAAAAAGTTACATCGAGATAAAACGCAAATATTGAAACTACCCGCGAACTCGAAAAGCTAAGCCCTAGCTGACTGTGCAAAAAGTTGGACAAGACCGAACATAAGCCTCCCAAGTGATTCACGATACCAACCACTTTATCATTTATTTCAATCGATGCATGTTCAAATTAGTGAAAGATTTTTTTTTTCTGAACCAACCTGTTCCTGCAATGGATTTTTATTTTGACCAAGAGGAGGTTCAACACTAATCAGCTGTCGAGCTTCTTTTAAATTTATATCATCGCTGATAAAAAATTCCACAAGGGGTAAAACCTCTGCAAAAATTATTTTTAATAAATATTGTCAATAAAAATTGGTGGATATAGTTAA